CGGTTCCACTGGGGTTAAGAGGAGGAGGCTGCTTTCTGCTCCCTTCGGGACGCCCTGGTAAAATCCCCTCCCTTGGTTTACCCCGATTTTTCTAAGCCCTTTTTGCTCGACACCGATGCGAGCAACACGGGTATTGGGGGTGTGCTTTCCCAGGTGGTTGATGGCGTGGAACGGGTGGTCGCGTACGGTAGTCGGGTGTTGTCTCCTGCGGAGCAAAGATATTGTGTCACCCGTAGGGAACTGTTGGCAATTGTCTATTTCATCCAACAGTATCGCCCATATCTGTACGGTCGGCATTTCACCGTCCGCACAGATCATGCGGCACTACAGTATGCCCTGCGAGTTCAACAACCATCGGGACAGTTGTCTCGATGGTTGGAGGTTCTCCAGGACTTTGATTTTGAAACAACCTACCGTAAGGGCGTTCGCCATACGAATGCGGACGCTCTGTCGCGCATGCCAACCACCTCCGAATGTGCATGCCTCCTGGGGTCGGGACGTTGCAGGCCTTCAGGGGACGCATCGGTTCCGGTCTTGGCAGCCACCGACGACGACGAAACATTAATTACTAATTCGATCGAACAACAGGGAAGAGATTCCCTGTTGGGGTTGCCCGTCACTGAATGGGGGCGCCTCCAGATGGAAGATACCTCCCTCCTCGGGTGGCGTCGTCGCGTCGGGGGTGCTGGGCGTGTGAAGGGTGATTCGGATGCATGGGAAATGGTGCAAGGTCTGCTGATGCATTGGGACGGAAAATCCCAGCGACATCGGCTGGTGGTCCCTTCTGGATTGCGAGGCAAGGTGGTGTGGGCCGCACATGAGCGCCTATTACACCTGGGGACCCAAAAGACTCTTGCACTGCTACAACTTGATTTTTTTTGGCCTGGCATGACGAGGGATGTTGGGGATCTATTGGGATCATGCCCTCGGTGTGCGCAACGGAAACCGCCGGCGCGGGAGTCTAACCCGCCCTTGCAATCGATCAAAGTGTCCAGAATAAATGAGCTTGTCGCGCTGGACATTTTGGGCCCATTTCCCGCCACCCCCAGGGGCAATAGGTATTTGTTGACTGGTGTCGAGTATTTTACACGCTGGCCTATGGCCTGGCCCCTTGCCAACCAGTCGGCAGCAGCCATCGTGGAGGCCTTTGTTCAGGGATACGTCCTGGACAAAGGTGCTCCGGAGCGGCTGCTGACCGACCAGGGCAGAAATTTTTCCGGTAAATTACTCAAACAAGTCTGTGACCTCCTAGGCACGAAGAAAATTCGTACCTCCCCGTATCACCCGCAAACTGACGGGATGGTCGAGCGCCTGCATCGCACCATTACGTCAATGATGTCACAGCAGGTCTCGGACTCACAGACTGACTGGGACCTGCATATTCAAGGGGTCTTGGCGGCATACCGGATGGCACCCCATGCAGCTACGGGATTTTCCCCCTTTTACCTCATGTACGGTCGCGAACCCGACCCGCCTGTTCGCGCCCAGCTGCAGATCCCCGAGCCGCAAGGGAAAACTAAATTGGCTGACCACGTCAAATTTAATCTGGCCAAATTAACAGAGGCGCGGGATGCTGCAATGCTAAACTCGGACCTCCGTCAAAAGGCGAATGAGTGCCTCAGGCTGGGTCGGGCGCACATGATACAGTGGAAGCCGGGGGACAAGGCATGGCTGCACTGTCCCCAAGTGCCACTGGCTACCTCCTCTAAGCTGGTGCGGCCGTGGCGGGGCCCTGTGGAGGTGGTCGAAGTTTTGCGACCACAGTGCGTGCGCATTAAATGGGGGAAGCGGCGATGGTCCGTGCACCCCTCTAGGTTAAAACCCTTCGTTGCGGTACACAAACCCACTTCACACATGCGTGGCCAAACGTGTGGGGGGTCGACCGACTCATTGGGTCCGTCTCCGTCGTTCTCACCTAATGCCTTGCCGGCCGTGCCACCTCCAGGTGCATCAGGACTGACGGGCTCACGCCCGACCACCCCTCCTGGGGATACCGACGGTCGCGCGGCATCGGATGAGGACTCACTCCGGGACGGACAATTGCCACCTGACGGTCCGCCACCCGGGGTTACCCCGTGTGAGGGGCCCGCTGCAAGGACGCGCGCAAAAAATGCGCAGACTGTTATGAGGCTGGAAGATGTGTACATAGGTTGTGTTCATCGTGTGTTGTGTGGGTGGTGTGTTCCCTGCCCATTGAATGTACATATGTTGGGTTCATTGTGTGTTGTGTGGGTGGTGTGTTCCCTGCCCATTGAAATGTACATACGTTGGGTTCACCTGGTGTTGTGTGTATGGTGGGTTCCCTGCAAATTGTATATAGGTTGTTTTTTTTACGGAATTCGTATTTATTCAAGGGGGGGTGCGTCGGGTTGTTTTCTCTTCTTGCTGTTGCATTTTGTTGTGTTCTTGTTGCTGTTCTTGTTATTGTTGAAAAATAGTGAGGCACACGCGCGGTCAAGGTGTAAATGCACTTTTATTGTCATTTTTGTATGTTGGCAGCCGGGACGGCTGCAAGCTATGCTGGGGGGGGGGGGGGGTGATGTAGGGGTGTTCAAGAGAGGGCCCGTTATGCATGGCAGCCTATGGAAAACAAACACAGTGGGCGGGGCTACGTAAGTGCACGAGGAGGTGCCCTCTACGACGTCCGAGCCAGACACCCTGGGGGGGGGGCTGGTTCGAACGTTATGATCCCCCGGGGCCCCACCCCTCAGGGAGGGGTTGGGTATAAAAGGGGATGTTCAAAGGGCTCGAGTCAGTTATGTTTAAGCTAAGGGAAGAAGACTGAAGACGTCTTAGATAGAGCCCTGGACTCCCCTAGTTCGATGTCCTTTTCAGGGCCGGACACGATTGAGCCAGCGGCGTGGTCCCGAAAGCCAGAGCCGGTGCTCTTGTAAGAGCTGGTCTGGAACTCCGGGTACCGGGCCCGACTTACCAGTGTCGGGCCAGTTAGCCTCCCCTAGCCCATTAGTGGAGGATTCGGGGCTAGGACAGAGTTAGCTAGGGGTGTATCCCGAGTTATACGGGTGAGGGGGCCGATACCCCCTCGAGTGTGTATATGCCCACTGTCGTATTGTGAAATAAATATACGTGTGCCTCAACCTCGGCGTCAAGCGTCCTCACCGGTACTTCACATAATCCAGCCTGCAGATTTAACCCAGGAGGTATCGTAGGCATGCCAGACTGAAAGTTTCTAATCGGCGCAGATGTTTCATTATGGGGGTCCACGTTTCGCAAGCGTAGAAAAGGGAGGGAATGACTGTGGCCGAGAAAACCCAACATTTTGTGTGGAGCGACAGACCATGTAGCTTCCACACATCATTGCACTTCTGATGAAAATATAATGCTGCTCAACTGATTCGGAGTGAGACCTCTCCTGTTAAACCAGAGCTGGTCATGAGCACACTGCCCAGGTATGGGAAACTCTCCACTCTCTCCACAACTGCTCCATCACCAATTGTGAGTTGTGGGGGTGGAGTGTCTGATGGCATAAAATACCCAGGCAGGTGCTGCCTGTTATTGGCACGCTCCAGGTTCAGCAGCAGCACCTCCAACTCCTCCTCTGAGTAAGCAGCAATTATCAAGTCATTGGTATACATAACGTGGTTGACCAATATGGAGCTATCTTTGGACCGCACCTGGGCATCAATCAGCCTCAGAAGGCTTTGTGAACTACGTGGTCGAAAAAGATGTTAAATAATGTTGGAGCCAGAGGACATCCCTGTCGCACCCCAAGGTGAACAGGAAAAGGCTCTGTCTCCCGGCCACTTAGCTTTACCTTGGCCAGCTCACCATCATGAAAGTCCTTAATGATCGTGAGCAGAGGGTCAGAGGGTCTAAAAGTGTGAAGAAGAACACAGAGCCCAGGCTGACTGATGGAATAGACCTTGACCAGGTCAATAAAGCAAATATGTTAGTCGTGTTGGAATTCCCTACACCTCTGCTGTATCAGACGGACAGAAAATATGGCATCTGTTCAGGACCGCCCTTTCCTGCAACCACATTGGGGCTCCGCAAGCCTCTCCTCAGCGTGCCTAGCAAGGCGATGTTGAGTAATCCTTGCCAGGACCTTTCCCGGCACACTGAGGAGTGAGATGCCCCTGTAGTTGTTACAGTCTGTGTGGTCCCCCTTCTTAAAGAGGGGGACCACCAGGGCATCTTTCCAATCCTGCGGAACCTGTCTAGTGGTCCAGATTTTAGGTATGATGTCATGTAGGGCAGTCTGTACACAAACGCCACTCTCAGCATTTCGCGTGGGTGATAATCTCTGGCCCGTGCCTTTCCTCGTCTCAGACTCTGGATCTCCTTCAGTACTTACTCAACAGATGGCACCTCAGCCAGCCACTCACAGGGGGTGACTTCTTCTTCCAATATTTCAGGCACCGCAGCCTCAGCAGGGTCATCCCCACTTTGTCGCACGATCTTTTCCATGTGGAGGGATTTCATCTCCCCCAGGACTTCACAAAAATGCTTAGCAAAATCTGCAAACCTGTTCCAGGGGGTCGGAGATTGGATTACCGTTCTTTCCCCTAATGATGGCGATAGGTGTGGCGCTGCAAGTTACTTTTTTGATGAAATTGAAGAGTGATTTGTGATCGCTGGCTGCTGAGGAAGACTCTAACTCCTCAGCAACCCGTAACCACCCCCTACCTTTCCTTCTCAAGAACCTCACTGCCTCGACCTAGACCACTATACTTCACTATACACTACACTATACACTACACTATACACGACACTATAAACTACACTACTGTACACTACACTATAAACTACACTACTATACACTGCACTACTATACACTACATTATACACTACACTATACACGACACTATAAACTACACTACTATACACTACACTATACACTACACTACTATATACTACACTACTATACACTACACTACTTTACACTAAACTACTATAAACTACACTATACACTACTATAAACTACACTATACACTACACTATACACTACACTGTATATGCATCTCTCACCTCCCCCACAGGATTTACAAAACCAGCCTAAGGAGGTGGTGGAGAGGGAGGTTCCCATGCTGCTGCAAAACCTCACCATGCAGACGAACCCTGTAGGGGGCAGGCTCACCCCCGACAGCATCCGCGCTGTGAGCGCCGCGCTGGGGCTGATCGCGATGGCGACCCAGAACAAGAGCATCGTCTTCGGCAAACAGGTGGCAGAGGTGAACCCCAGTGTGCCGTGGTGTAGTGTAGAGTGTAATGTAGTGTATAGTGTAGAGTGTAGTGTAGAGTGTAGTGTGTAGTGTATAGTGTGTAGTGTATAGTGTAGTGTAGAGTGTAGTGTAGAGTGTAGTGTAGAGTATAGTGTATAGTAGTGTATAGTGTAGTGTGTAGTGTATAGTGTATTGTATAGTGTAGTGGATAACAGTGTAGTGTGTAGTGTAGTGTGTAGTGTAGAGTGTAGTGTAGAGTGTAGTGTGTAGTGTAGTGTATAGTGTAGTGTGTAGTGTAAATGTAGTGTGTAGTGTAGTGTATAGTAGTGAAGTGTGTAGTGTAGTGTATAGTAGTGTAGTGTATAGTGTAGTGTGTAGTGTAGTGTAGAGTGTAGTTTATAGTAGTGTAGTGTATAGTAGTGTATAGTATAGTGTGTAGTGTGTAGTGTAGTGCAGAGTGTAGTGTAGAGTGTAGTTTATAGTAGTGTAGTCTTTAGTGTGTAGTGTAGTGTGTAGTGTAGTGTGTATTGTAGAGTGTAGTGCAGAGTGTAGTGTATAGTGTAGTGTAGAGTGTAGTGTAGAGTGTAGTGTATAGTAGTGTATAGTATAGTGTGTGGTGTTGTGTGTAGTGTAGTGTGTAGTATATAGTGTAGTGTATAGTAGTGTAGTGTATAGTGTAGTGTATATTAGTGTAGTGTATAAACGTAGTGTATAATAGTGTAGTGTATAGTGTAGTGTACTAGTAGTGTAGTGTAGTGTATAGTGTAGTGCATAGTGTAGTGTATAGTGTAGTGTATAGTGTAGTGGATAACAGTGTAGCGTGTAGTGTAGTGTGTAGTGTAGTGTGTAGTGTATAGTGTAGAGTGTAGTGTAGAGTGTAGTGTGTAGTGTATAGTGTAGTGTATAATGTAGTGTGTAGTGTAGTGTATAGTAGTGAAGTGTGTAGTGTAGTGTATAGTAGTGTAGTGTATAGTGTAGTGTGTAGTGTAGTGTAGAGTGTAGTGTAGAGTGTAGTTTATAGTAGTGTAGTCTTTAGTGTGTAGTGTAGTGTGTAGTGTAGTGTGTAGTGTAGAGTGTAGTGTAGAGTGTAGTGTGTAGTGTAGTGTAGAGTGTAGTGTAGAGTGTCGTGTAGAGTGTAGTGTACAGTAGTGTATAGTGTAGTGTGTAGTGTAGTGTGTAGTGTATAGTGTAGTGTATAGTGTAGTGGATAACAGTGTAGTGTGTAGTGTAGTGTATAGTGTACTGTGTAGTGTAGTGTATAGTAGTGTAGTGTGTAGTGTATAGTGTAGCGTGTAGTGTGTAGTGTAGGGTATAGTGTAGGGTATAGTGGAGTGTGTAGTGTAGTGTATAGTAGTGTAGTGTATAGTGTAGTGTGTAGTGTAGTGTGTAGTGTAGTGTATAGTAGTGTAGTGTATAACGTAGTGTATGATAGTGTAGTGTATAGTGTAGTGTATAGTAGTGTAGTGTATAGTGTAGTGCATAGTGTAGTGTATAGCGTAGTGTAGAGTGTAGTGCATAGTGTGGTGTATAGTGTATAGTAGTGTAGTGTATAGTGTAGTGTATAGTAGTGGAGTGTATAGTAGTGTAGTGTATAGTAGTGTAGTGTATAGTAGTGTAGTGTATAGTAGTGTAGTGTGTAGTGTAGTGTATGGTGTGTAGTGTAGTGTATAGTGTAGTGCATAGTGTGGTGTATAGTGTATAGTAGTGTAGTGTATAGTGTAGTGTATAGTAGTGGAGTGTATAGTAGTGTAGTGTATAGTAGTGTAGTGTATAGTGTAGTGTATAGTAGTGTAGTGTGTAGTGTAGTGTATAGTGTAGTGTATAGTGTAGTGTATAGTGTAGTGTATAGTAGTGTAGTGTATAGTGTATAGTAGTGTAGTGTATAGTAGTGTAGTGTACAGTGACTCTCCCCGCCGTGCCACCTCTCGACAGAGCTTCCTAGTCACGGCCAGCAACCTGCTGGCGATGAGCAACTTGGACTCCTGGAAGTCGCTGCAGACGCTGAACGAGTCGGACAGCTCCGACCTCCTCGGCACCGTGGAGACTTTCGTGACGAGGATGAACACCACGAGCCTCGCCACGGGCACACGTGAGCATGTGGGCGGGTGTGGGCGGGTGTGAGGGTGGATGAAGATACTGGGATATACGGAGCGACACGGGGAGATACACTGGGGAGACAGGGGGGTGACATGGGGGAGTCAACGGGAGTCATCGGGAGAGACACGGGGAAATATCGGGATATACGGGGAGCCATTAGGGGAGACACAGGGGAGACATGAGGAGACACGGGGCGACATTGGGAGACACTGGGAGACACTGGGAGACACTGGGAGACACTGGGAGACAAGAGGAGACACTGGGAGAGACACTAGGAGAAAGCAGGAGAGACTGGGAGACATGAGGAGACACTGGGAGACACTGGGAGACAGGGGGAAATACTGGGAGACAGGGGGAGACACTGGGAGATAGGGGGAGACACTGGGAGACACGGGGAGACACTGGGAGACACTGGGAAACAGGGGGAGACAGGGGAGACACTAAGAGACACTGGGAGACACTGGGAGACACGAGGAGACATTGGGAGAGACACGGGGAGACACTGGGAGACACTTGGGGAGACACGGGGAGACACTGGGAGACACTGGGAGACACTGGGAGAAAGCAGGAGAGACTGGGAGACATGAGGAGACACTGGGAAATACTTGGAGATCGGGGGAGACACTGGGAGACACGGGGAGACACTGGGAGACACTGGGAAACAGGGGGTGACAGGGGAGACATTGAGACACACTGGGAGACACTGGGAGACACGAGGAGACACTGGGAGAGACACGGGGAGACAGGGGGAGACACTGGGAGACATTGGGAAACAGGGGGAGACAGGGGAGACACTGAGAGACACGGGGAGACACTGGGAGACACTGGGAGACAGGGGGAGACATTGGGAGACAGGGGGAGACATTGGGAAACACTGGGAGACACGGGGAGACACTGGGAGACAGCGAGAGAGACTGGGAGACATGAGGAGACACTGGGAGACAGGGGGAGAAATGCGGAGGCACAGATTACAGCCACATACACTGGGAGACACTGAGAGACACTAAGAGACACTGGGATACACTAAGAGACACGGGGAGACACGGGGAGACACGCGTTGAATCAGGGAGATGCTGGACGGCACCAGGAGAAAAATTCCCTCGACCAAGGTGAGAGAGAGAGAGACGCAAACTCCAAATACGCAACAGGCGTCAGGGTCCGGGATCGAACCCACGACCTCCTGCGTGCCAGGGTAGGTAGTTAATATATCTTCGCCACCGTGGTGTTCGGGTCCGAGAACGAACCCACGACCTGCTGTAAACCAGGCGATGTAATGACCATCTCAACATCAAACCCACGACCTCCTGTAAACCAGGTGATGTCGTCACCATCTCAACATCGAACCCACGACCTCCTGTAAACCAGGTGATATCGTCACCATCTCAACATCGAACCCACGACCTCCTGTAAACCAGGCGATGTCGTCACCATCTCAACAATGAACCCACGACCTCCTGTAAACCAGGTGATGTTGTCACCATCTCAACATCGAACCCACGACCTCCTGTAAACCAGGTGATGTCACCATCTCAACATTGAACCCACGACCTCCTGTAAACTAGGCGATGTCGTCACCATCTCAACATCGAACCCACGACCTCCTGCGTACCAGGCGAGGCAGTCACCATCTCCTGCACGTTCCCCCCCCCTTCCCTCTCCTCCCGCTCACCGATTTCCCTCCACCCCGAAGGTGCCGGTGCTGACGTCCCGTCGCCGTTCAACATCACCAGCGCCAACGTGCGGCTGCTGGGCACCGTCCTCGCCAGGGCCGGCGCCGCCCAGGGAGGCAACTACTCCAAGGTGTTCGCGGGCGACGGAGTCGCCGGGGAGACTGCAGTGACGATCGGTGAGGAGCAGCTGAACAACGTCGCCAACGACCGCGGCGGCGGCGGTGGCACCTACGTCGTGAGCATGCTCTTCACGTGAGTCGCTCGCTCACTCATCCACTCACTCGCTCAGCCACTCATTCGCTCAGCCACTCACTCACTCAGCCACCCACTCACTCACTCAGCCACTCGGCCACTCACTCACCCACCCACTCACTCAGACACTCACTCACCCACCCACTCACTCACCAACGTACTCACTCAGCCACTGACTCAGCCACTCACTCAGCCCCTCACTCAGCCACTCAGCCACTCACCCACCCACTCACTCACTCACCCACTCACTCACCCACTCACTTACTCAGCCACTCACTCACTCAGTCACTCACTCACCCACTTACTCACTTACTTAGCCATTCACTCACTCACTCAGCCACTTACCCACTCACTCACGCACACTCAGCCACTCACTCAGCCACTCACTCACTCAGCCACGTAGCTATCCACTCACTCACTCACGCACTCACTCACTCAGCTACTCGGCTACTCACTAACTCACTCTCCCACTCACTCAGCCACTCACTCGCTCAGCCACTCACTCACACACACACTTACCTACACACTCACCCACCCACTCAGCATTAACCACACAATGCGTATATTATATTATCCGAACCGGTAATGGGCATCCCCTAGGTCGACTCGGCCTCAAATGAGTACCTGGAGTTATGTGCAGTCAACATCGCCATTGGGGAGGCAAAGGCGGGCGGGCGTGGTGTTGGCCACCCCACCCCCTCGTGTGCTGTGCCGGCCTTCATAGGTGCTGATCGCTGACAGCATTTGCCCCTTCAGTCTGCTAAAGCTATATGAGGGATTTTTGTCTTTGTATGTGTATGTGGTTCTGTGTGTGTGTGTCGGTCTCTGTCTGTGTGTGGGTCTGCGTGTGGTGTGTGGGCCTGTCTGTGTGTGGGCCTGTCTGTATGTGGGTCTGTGTGTGTGTGTCTGTGTGTGTGTGGGTCTGTGTGTGTGGGTCTGTGTGTGTGGGTCTGTGTGTGTGGGTCTGTGTGTGTGGGTCTGTGTGTGTGTATGTGTGTGGGTCTGTGTGTGTGTGTGGATCTATGTGTGTGTGGGTCTGTGTGTGTGTGTATTGGTCTCTGTGTGTGTGTGTAATGGGTTCCGGAGACACTTGTAGAGGTAACTTCTTTATTACAATACAACACTCCAACAGTCCTGATACTCTGTTACAGCCTAGGGACACAGCCTAGGGACACAGCCTCTTCCTAGCGTGCCTGACTCTGCCTACGCGCTGGGGTCCTCCGGCTACAATTACCCTAGGGGAGGCTACTTGACCCGACCCAGCCAAGGTGTGGGTCTGGACTCTGTCTTCCTCGGAACTCGCCCTTACAAGGACGTAGAGCAGGGAGTCCCAGAGTCCCACCACTGGCCCGCACAGCGTCCCGGCCCTTACAAGGACAAGCGGGACAAGGGGGTCCAGGGTCCAACGCTGGCTGGTCTTGGGTCTTGAGCTTCGACTGGCCCCGATCAGCTAGGGAGCGGCCCTTTCATCCCTCTTGCCCATCGAGGGTTGGGGTTGTGTGGGATTCCAGATACCCCACAGCCCCCCGTTGGTGGCGCCAAGGGGCTTAGCCAGCAGCCCCTCCCCTCTTGGGCTGGCACAGTGGCCCCTCCCCTGGGGGTCCGAGGTATCTGCAGATGGGCCCTGTCCACCACTGCCGGTAAGTGTGACCCATCTATGGCACTACATGTGTATGGGTCTGTGTGTATGTGTGTGTCTGTGTGTGTGTGTGTCTGTGTGTGTGTCTGTGTGTCTGTGTGTGGGATGGGTGGGCGGGGCGAGAAGGACCCTGGCTGAAGTCCTGCCCCTCCGGCTGACCCCCGAGCTGAACAGGCAGTGGCGCGGGCGGCGGCTCCGCTGGCTCCGTGGCGAGCCGGGCCGTGGGGAGCCACATCCTCAGCACCGTCGTGAGCAACCCGAGGAACTTGACGGGCGTCACGGACATCGTCCTGCGCTTCCCGCTCACGGTGGCCAACAATGGCAGCGGCAGCATCGTCCACTGCACCTTCTGGGACACAAAGGTGGGGAGGGTGGTGGTGGAGGTGGTGGGGGTGGTGTTGGTGTTGGTGGTGGTGGGGGTGGTGGTGGTGGGGGTGTTGGTGGTGGTGGGGGTGGTGGGGGTGCTGGTGGAGGTGGTGGTGGTCGTGTTGGTGGCGAAGGGGGTGGTGGTGGGGGTGGGGGTGGTGGTGGTGGTGGTGGTGGGGACGGTGGTGTTGGGGGTGGTGGTGGTGGTGGTGGGGGTGGTGGTGGTGGTGGGGGTGGTGGTGGTGGTGGTGGTGGTGGTGGAGTGGTGGGGGTGGTGGTGGTGGGGGTGGTGGTGGTGTTGGTGGTGGTGGTGGGGGTGGTGGTGGTGGTGGGGGTAATGCTGTTGGTGGGGGTGGGGGTGGTGGTGTTGGTGGTGGTGGTGGGTGGTGTGGGGGGCATGACGACACCCATGGTGCATGCTAGGTAGACGTTGACTACCTCGCCTGATACGCAGGAGGTCGTGGGTTCGATCCCGACCATGACGTCACCGTGTACCAGGCGAGATAGCCAACATCTCATAGCCAGCGTGGAGTGTCAGGGTACGTGGTCGAACCCACGACCTCCTGCGTACCAGGCGAGGTCGTCAACATATCCGAGCCACCCCGTTGGGCTCTCATAACGTTGCCGTGACTCAAGGCCCCCTGGCCCCGCCCCCCCTGGCCCCGCCCCCTCTGTCCTGCCCACCCCCCAGTATAACAATGGGCGGGGCGGCTGGTCCGGCGTGGGCTGCCAGCTGACGTCCACTGTCACTACCGGCAACGCGACGGCCTTCTCCTGCCGGTGCAACCACACCACCTCCTTCTCCATCCTCATCTCCCCCGGCGACGACCTCGTGGATGACACGACCCTCTCGATCGTCTCCTACGTCGGCGTCGGCATCTCGATGTTGTCCCTGGTGGCCGTCCTCGCCATCGAAGCCGTCACCTGGCGCCCGTCGGTGTCCACCGGCCGCGCCGGCCGGCGCTCCAACCGGCGCCTCCGCCACCTGATCCTGGTCAACGTGTGCACGTCGCTCCTCTTCGCCGACGTCTGGTTCATCGTGGCCGCCTCTCCCGACGCCCTCGGCAGCCCCACGCTCTGCACGGCTGCCGCCTTCTTCGTCCACCTCGGCTACCTCGCCCTCTTCTTCTGGATGCTCTGTGAAGGCCTCCTCCTCGTCTACGTCGTCGTCGTCGTCTTCGAACGCTTCGCCGCCCGCAGCCTCTACGCCGCGGCGTTCGCCGTCGGCTACGGGGCTCCCGCGGTCATCGCCGCAGCCGCCGTAGCGGCGACGTACCCCCGCGGGGCCTACCTGCGCGACGGAGCCTGCTGGCTCGACTGGGAGCACGGCAGGACGCTGTTCGCGTTCGTGGCACCGGCCTTCGCCGTGCTCACCGCCAACCTCGTCGCGCTCGCGGTCGTCCTGGCCAAGATTTCGCGGAAGAGGTCCGCGGTCGTCTCGGGGAGCCCCGACGTGAACGTCCGGCTGATCGCTCGGAGCATCGGGGTGCTCACGCCGCTGCTCGGAGTCACGTGGGGGCTCGGGATCTTCGCGTTCAGCGCCGAGGGCAGGGCCAGCCACGCACTGCACTACCTCTTCGCCATCCTCAACTCGCTGCAGGTGCGGGGCGAGCGAGCACGGGGAAGTTGTTGTTGTAGGTTGTTGTTGTTTGTTGTTGTTGTTGTTGTCGCATTGGGGATTGGGTCGCCGCGGGTGTGAACGTCTGCGTCCCGAAACCCCCTCCAACGAACGGCGCTGCCAGTAAGGTCTGTCATGTAAACAACGCGCCAATTAGTTACTAGTGTAGTGTAGCGTGTATTGTAGTGTGTAGTGTAGTGTATAGTAATGTAGCATACATTAGTGTAGTGTATAGTAGTGTAGTGTAGCGTATAGTGTAGTGTGTATAGTAGTGTAGTGTATAGTAGTGTAGTGTATAGTGTAGTGTATAGTATAGTAGTGTCGTGTATATTGTAGTGTATAGTAGTGTAGTGTATAGTATAGTAGTGTAGCATATAGTGTAGCGTATAGTAGTGTAGTGTATAGTGTAGTGTATTGTAGTGTAGTTTATAGTGTAGTGTGTATAGTAGTGTAGTGTATAGTATAGTAGTGTAGCTTATAGTGTAGTGTGTATAGCAGTGCAGTGTATTGTGTAGTGCATAGCGTAGTATATTGTAGTGTAGTGTATAGTAGTGTAGTGTAGTGTATAGTGTAGGGTATAGTGCAGTCTGTTGTAGTGTAGTGTATAGTGTAGTGTACTACTTCAGCCCACCAGTGTATTGGAGAGTAAATCCACAAGATTTACAATGTGAGTAGTACTGTGACGTTTCGCTCGTAATGACATTGCATGGTATGGAGGAGGTCGTGGGTTCGATCCTGATCCTAACACCACGGTGGCTAGGAGATGTTAACTACCTTGCCTGGTGTACAGGAGGTCGTGGGTTCGATCCCGGACCCAAAAGCCCAAGGTGGCTAGGAGATGTTAACTACCTCGCCTGGTATGCAGGATGTCCCTGGGACGAACCCCCTAGTGTGCCACAGTTCCAGCCTTCGTAGGCGCTGCTAACAGCACATGATGTGACTCGTTTAGAGGATTTGGGAGTTATAAGTCTCTGTGGATCTGTATGAGTCTCTGGATCTGTGTTGGTCTATTGGTCTCTCTGGGTTTCTGTGGGTCTCTGTGGTTCTCTGTGGTTCTATGGTTTTCTGTGTATCTATGGGTCTCTGTAGGTTTCTGTGTGTCTCTGTGGATCTCCGTGGTTCTATATGGTTCTATATGAGTCTATGGGTCTATTGGTCTGTATGTTAATGGGTCTCTGTAGGTATATGTGGGTGTCTATTGGTCTCTGAGGGTCTATGGGGGTCTGTCGGGTTTCTATGAGTCTCTATGAGTATGGGTCTCTATGCGTTTAGGTTATTGGGCTGCTGCTATGAATGTCCATGTGACTATGATGTTGATGATGATGACATCAGCCACGTGATGTTGATGATGATGACATCAGCCACGTGATGTTGATGATGATGACATCAGCCACGTGATCGAGCTGCTGTCATGTTGTGATGGCCAGGTGGCTTCTGACAAAGGGTCACACAGCAGCTTAGTGGGGCATAACACCTGGTGACTAGGGGTCGGCACGGTTTGAACCGACTCAAACTGGTTTCAAATTGAGCAAACCAAACCAAACCAGCGACGACTGAACCAAACCAAACCAAAACCAAACCAAACTAAGCTAAACCAAACCTCTTGAGTTGGCTTGAACCGAAAAGATGCGCGGCAAACAATATTCGCATTCAATACAAATATCAAGTGTATTAATCGCTAATTTCTACGCAGGCTTTCTTCATATTGAGATTCACTAGCAAGTACTGGACGACGATGTCGTCCACAGCCATCTCCTCAAGCTTGGCACGCCCAATGTCCTTGAACGCAGTGTGATAGTTCAATGGCAGTGAAACCCCAACACTAGGCAACATCCGCGCCCACGAGCGCACACACATCTCGGCCTTGAACGTGCACTTGTGCAGGTTTGGTCGGTCGAGAAAGGAGCGCTTGGCGGCCGAGTTTGCTCTCTCGGAGGGCACGGACGACGCCGGGATAGGCAAATAGTCGAGGGCCACGCGTCGTAGGCGCGGGTACTTGCCGCCGTACAGCTTCCACCACTCGACGACGTCCATGCTCAGGTCCTGAGTCGGCTCAAGCAGGAAGCGGTCGACCTCGGAGGCGGCGCCGTCGTGAGCGTTGGGCGCGTAGACCATGTCAAAGAGGATGTTAATGCCGCCACGCGGCGCCGCCTTCGGCGCCGCGTCCGTCGTCAACGCTGGGTAGCGCTGGTTGAGAATGTCCGTCATCATGTCCTTGATATTGCTGTACTCGGTGCTCGAGGCCGCGGGCTTGGGGTGGCGCAGGTCGAGAAAGCGGGCGACGCGGCTTGGTTCGGACGAGAGTAGGTCGCTGTACTTGACCATGTAGTCGGAGATGGTCACGGCGGCCGAGCTCACGACCACATGAGGACTCGGGCGGTGGGTCATGCAGTGGCTCAAGAGAGCCTCCTGCGCCGTGATGGCGTTCGAGATGGTGCAGTACTCCTCGGGGTCTCTTTGGGTCTATGTGGGGTCTCTATGGGTATGGGTCTCTGTGGGTCTATGTGGGTCTTTGTGGGTCTCTATGGGTCTCTGTGGGTCTGTAATAAAGAACTCGGACGCTCTCTCTGTCTCCGTGTCCTTTATTTGGGTTCTTATGCTTTTCCCTCACGGCACTCCCCTAGATACTCTTCGTTCGGCAGCCCCAGGCTGCTGTCGCTCACTTAGCCCACTTTCTCCCCTAGCAGACCCGCTGCTGAACTCCTCGTGCAGACCCCCGCTGCTCAACTCCCCTTTTGCAGACCCGCTGCTCTCTGCAGCCTCCTCGCTGCTCCTGCTGCTCCGGGGTCGGTCACCGTTGGCCGACGGTGCCGAACCTCGTGGTCCGTGTATGTGGCGATCTCGCCACTCTCTCTCTCACTCCCGCCCTGCGTGGCCTCACTCTTTCCCAGTCTCCGATCACTCCCTGTTCCTCCGTGCTCGGTCTCGCTGGCTGGCGGTGCCGAGTCTTACCGTGTGTGGCGATCTCGCCACTCCCCAACCTCAGCCCTGCGTGGCCTCTGTGGCGATCTCGCCACTCTCCAACCTCAGCCCTGCGTGGCCTCTGTGGCGATCTCGCCACTCTCTGTCTCCATCCCCAACTCTCTCTTCCACCCCGCTGGCTGGCGCCGTCATGAGCCCCTCAGCCACCAGGCTGAGGCACGGTGACCACCCAACGTGGTCTCCACTCTTCACTCCCCCGACTGCCCCAGATGGCTTCCTGTCTCCCCGCTATAACTTCTCCCCCACGTGACCCTGACTCCTCCCTCTCGGATCGTCATATCCGACCCGCCCATTTACGCCCGCATTACACCACCCTCCCCTGTAGAGAAAATTCCAGCCGTCCTCGGCTGAAACAGAACAAAATAATGCGGGCGAAGGCATCACAATCAGGAGTCCCCCAGACACAACGGAGATTATAACAACAACAACACAAGTAACGAAAGGGGAGGTATCAGGAACTGGAACAGAACACCGGCCTGTCCTCCGCGCAACAACAACAAGAATAAGAATGGCACAATGCACAACAACGGCAACTGACACGCAAGAACGGCCGACGCGCACAACCCAGGAATGTGGTGTTTTAGTGCGTGTCCATGTTGCAGTTCCATCCGCTCGGCTCAAGTCCAACGTCAAAGAGCAAGTGGTAGTGCAGGAATGACGAACGGGCGCCCAATTGCTCCTTCAAGTCCTCATCCAGTGAGCACACCAGGTAACACCCAGTGTGGCAGGCGCTGAAGATCTGTGACGAGAAGGAGAATCCAATCCCCTGAGGCACAGCACAACAACGCACATCCACATGTCGTACACGACAGCCACCCGGCCCCAGGGTAGTGGAGATGATGCAATTCCGGCCCGCTTAAGAAAACCCCCATAAATACCCAAATAGACGCGATGGATGCCCCAGTATTTAAATTTTAACAACATTATTTACAAGTGACAACAACAACAACAACAACAAAATTCCTACTCTTGCCCACCAGCAGTCCTCCCTTGAGGACTAGCACAGACATCGCACGTACACAGCATGTACCCACGGTCACTCTCAACAAAACCCCCAGTCGCACACCCTCGCGTGGAGAGAGCCACGCTCCCCAGCGGTAACGTTTAACTCGCCCTAACCCTCACCGTGGTCGTCAAACCACAGCAACATCCACTGATCATACTCTTGGCTAGTGCAATTTCGGGGATGAGCAGCACTCGGCCTTGCTCCTCCCTTACTATCCCATCAGCGATGGACACACACCAGCATCTTATAGTCTGACGCTGTATAGCCAAGGGAAGATCAATCCCTCGGCAAGGCCAGACACCAACGACCCTCCCCACGGGGCAATGTTCTCTTATAGAGTCAATAACGCCCTAACCCAGATCCCGTGAGCCCCCGGCACACCAGGTTCAGTCTGCCACCGCACAACTGAACCATGACTCCCCGAGCCATATGAGCACACGGCCCATTAGTTTGAGACATACCACGGAGGTTTCGCCTCCGGCTGTCAGGTCAGCCATCAGCATAGGCCGATGTGACCACAACTCGTGCATCACCCAATCAACAATGGCAGGCATAACAGATGGAATATTTGCCCCACCGAGGTTTTCCCCCGCGCTCAAAATGGCGGCCCCCTTCGCCAAGCGCGTTGTCGCAATATCTCGCGCGCACTCAAAATGGCGGCCCTTTGCGCAAAGCGCATTGTCGCCATACCCCGCGTGCGCGCAAAATGGCGGCCCAACGTGCGAACACGTGGCCAGTTTTCTCCGTGCGTGCACCCCAGCTGCCCTTTGCTGGGGGTCACAAGACGCATCCCCCGTCACGTTGTAAACAACCCCACCAACGATAGACGCACAGCCCCAGCTTGCTGCGCACAGCAGTCATATCGGGGAATTTTTAACCAATATTTTATCAAAACACATTGGTTACACACACCAACCCGCAAGCAACTCCTGGCTGCATGCAATCAACCGAATGAGCGACGCCACTTGGCGCCAATTTACGGTCCCATCGCCATTAACATCTGAGCCACCCACAAAGGCGTCATCGCGCACCCTCATTAAAAAAAAAAAAACTCAATTACCTATAATATACACGCAATCTCGTGTGCATAAACACCCATACAACCAAATTTTTGGGTCCCCCTCGAATTTGTTACCAATTCCCAAACAGGTACGCACAATTAATAACAATCCCAACCCCAATAGTCAACCAATGCATCGCACCCCATAACCGTACAGAACGGTGTAACAGCACATGCAGTCAGCATATCGCGATCACACGCGTACATTTAAGCACAATAGCAAGCAGATCTGCAGGCAACCAACACACCATTAATCCTGTCGTAACTTTGCAGCAACAACACAAATATTCTCTCTCTTGCAACAACCACATCGCACACAGCACCTCGCAGCACAATACACCAAAAAAATATATATTTTTCAATTAAGCCCATCGCACACGGTAACCCACGAGATGGTACAGCGCAGGATACCCGACGCTCCCGAGTTAATAATTAACTTCGCCATCAAGATAACAACTCCATGCCGCAGCGCACACACACTATTTGACACTCAGCAAGCACAACAGACTCTCCTTCCATCCTCAACACACACACATACACACTAATTGACACCGAGCAACAAGCAAATAGCGCGTTCATCCAGAACACACACACACACAGCCCGAACCGCGCTCCGCACGCTCGAGACATGACAAAAATCGCCCCCCGGCACACGAAAGATGGGTGAGGTGTGTGTTAAGGCCGGGTGCGTATCGTTACGACTCGCCCGGGGCTGCAGCAAGCAGAGGACGCAGTGTGGTAACTTGAGACGCCTCGCAGAACTCGAACGATGACTTGACTGCTCCGTTATCTCGCACCCGAGCCAGGACGGGAGAACTCCCGTCCCAGCAGCTGCAGCGTCGGCGTCCTCTTCCTCGCAGCTCCTCCTCGAAAAACAGCAGCTCACAGCAGGCTGCTCACCTCGCGGCACCTCCAGAGGGCAGCGCAAGGCTGCATCTTCCGCCGCGATGTTGAAGATGGCGGCGTCTTCCCGCCGCGGTGAAGACAAGATGGCGGCTTCCCGCCGTTTCTCCCCTGCCACGCCCAAGATGGCGTCTTCGTGCCGCGTGGCAGATGGCGCTGGCAGCGCAGGAAAGGCGGAGGCCTGCGGATCACCACCGGGCCTCCCCGACGCCGTCCTCGGCGTGGTGAGCTCACACAGTTGCGCCAGCACGATTTTCAAGGTCCCCATCTGCGCCGCCATCTGTCTCCATCGTAAGTTGGCGTCCTCCGGCGCAGACAGGTCCACCGACGCGGCGACATCTTGCTCACCCGGACCCGTACTCGTTCCAGCACGGATCTCCTCTTCCATCGCAGGCAGGTCCACCGCCTGAGGAAGGTCGTCGTCGTCGGGTGATGTAGCAGATGATGGCGCAGGAATATTCTTTCTTCTGAGCTTGTTTGACATGCCGTTTCACTTCTGACACCAGTGTAATAAAGGACTCGACCACTGTGTCTGTCTCTTTTTTTTTGTCTCCGTGTCCTTTATTTGGGTTCTTATGCTTTTCCCTCACGGCACTCCCCTAGATACTCTTCGTTCGGCAGCCCCAGGCTGCTGTCGCTCACGTAGCCCACTTTCTCCCCTAGCAGACCCGCTGCTGAACTCCTCGTGCAGACCCCCGCTGCTCAACTCCCCTTTTGCAGACCCGCTGCTCTCTGCAGCCTCCTCGCTGCTCCTGCTGCTCCGGGGTCGGTCACCGTTGGCCGACGGTGCCGAACCTCGTGGTCCGTGTATGTGGCGATCTCGCCACTCTCTCTCTCACTCTCCGCCCTGCGTGGCCTCACTCTTTCCCAGTCTCCGATCACTCCCTGTTCCTCCGTGCTCGGTCACCGCTGGCTGGCGGTGCCGAGTCTTACCGTGTGTGGCGATCTCGCCACTCCCCAACCTCAGCCCTGCGTGGCCTCTGTGGCGATCTCGCCACTCTCCAACCTCAGCCCTGCGTGGCCTCTGTGGCGATCTCGCCACTCTCTGTCTCAATCCCCAACTCTCTCTTCCACCCCACTGGCTGGCGCCGTCATGAGCCCCTCAGCCACCAGGCTGAGGCACGGCGACCACCCAACGTGGTCTCCACTCTTCACTCCCCCGACTGCCCCAGATGGCTTCCTGTCTCCCCGCTATAACTTCTCCCCCACGTGACCCTGACTCCTCCCTCTCGGATCGTCATATCCGACCCGCCCATTTACGCCCGCATTACAGGTCTATGTGGGGTCTCTATGGGTATGGGTCTATGTGGGTCTGTCTGGGTCTATGTGGGTCTGTATGTGTCTATGTTGGTCTGTATGGGTCTCTGTGGGTCTATGTGAGTCTCTGTGGGTCTGTATGGGTCTCTGTGGGTCTCTATGTGTCTCTGTGGGTCTATGTGGGTCTGTATGGGTTTATGTGGGTCTCTATGGTTCTATGTGGGTCTCTATGGGTCTATGTGGGTCTGTATGGGTCTATGTGGATCTGTATGGGTCTCTATGGGTGTATGTGGGTCTCTATGGGTCTATGTTGGTCTGTATGGGTCTCTGTGGGTCTATGTGAGTCTCTATGGGTCTGTATGGGTCACTGTGTGTCTCTATGGGTCTCTGTGGGTTTATTTTGATGATGATGATGATATCAGCTACTGGGTGGACCTGGCCATCAACTTGTGATGTCCAGGTCGCATGTCTGAACAAAGGTCCACACAGCAGCTCAGTGGGACATTACCGCCTGGCACAATGAACGCAGCAGCTGCTACTCGCTAGCGTAGTGATGCAGACGATGTCACCATCGCGTTAGCGCCGGGAACCTCCCCTAGTGAGGCTCGAGGGACACGTGGCAGGGAGCCCAGATCCCCTGAGGGGCTGTCCATAAATGACATCACGCACCTGGGGGGGGGGGGGGGGGGCGAGGGGCAGGGGGGTCAGACATTTGTGACGATGCGTGACGAGGGGGGGTGTGTTTGAGAAATGTGACGTCACATCAAAATGCGCAACTTTAAATAAATATATTCTAGATTTGAAGCTTTCGTGACTGCAAGGATTCATATTCTTTTTTTTTTCGGTAATGTCACGTAGGTAAAAATAAATAATAATAATTTTATTTCTATATTTGTATTTTTATTATTATTTATTTTTAAATAAATATAGACAACACATTTTACTTGATTAAATAGACTTGTTAATCAATGTTTTCCTCTACAACATCAGAGTGCAGCGCCACATTAAATACGCACTACAATGACAATAGTTGAAGGCGATTTGAAGCATGTTTTATACTTTTTTTTGAGGGGGGGCAGAGCTTTGTGACGTCATATTTGGGGGGGGTCTGACTTTTTGTGGCGCCGTGTGACGACGGGGAGGGGGGGGGGTCAAAAATCGTCCAAAATCGCGTGACGTCATTTATTGGCGGCCCCTGACTTGACCCAGCGGTGTAGGGACGTGGCCGAGGAGGCAGCAAGGCCGTGGCCAGGGAAATGAAGGGGGAGTCCCAACCGGGATCGTCTTGGGGGTTTCTTCGCTATTTGGGTCGTTGACGCTTGAGTCTTAGCTCGGCTGTTATTTGAACATCTTTAAGTGACTATGTGACTTTGTGCAAACAGAAATTCCAAGAAAAGTCATCAAAATATTGCAGAATAAAATATTTTAAAATACTTTTAAAAACATGCTTTCATGAAATGTACTGTCCGAGCTGCCCATCCCCCTGCCTCCTTCCCCCATCGCCCCTCCCCCCTTATTCCATATGCCCCGCCCCTGGGCGTGGCTCCCCGAGGGTTGCCGTGACGTAAGGGACCGCGGTGATTTACAGGCAACGTCAGTTGAGCGTGGACAATTAGAGCAGTTAAAAATATTGTTTAAAAATATACATATTTTATTTTTAATGATAGAATATAGTCTTGTCATGAGTATGACATAGCTGTACGACGTTTGCAGTCGATACGACATTGGGAATACGGTTGAAATTGAGTTACAAGGTTTTTGGATACGACAACACACACGGTAAGTTAAATGAAAGCGTGTAAAAAGTTTAAAATATGTCTTGGATTTTTTATGATAGAATATCGTGTTGTCATCAGTATGACACACCTAGACCAAGTTTGCAGTCGATAGCATATTGGGAAGTGTGTACAAATTGAGTTACAAGATTTCTTTTTTGAGGATACAACAGCAGCGTACACCAACGATGTGGGCAAAAATCCCAGTGGCATGCAAGTCAAACAACAACAACAACCACAAGACAACTTAGATTAAGGCCATCAATAGACGAGTACCCGGCAGATATGATAGACACACATCGCCTCTAAGTCAGCGTGTGCACGCCTCTGTGTGCCACACGCAACGCTAGCAGCACTTGCCGCTACAGTCTGTTTATGCTACCCGGGGGATCTTTGTCTTTGTTCTTCTCGCCCCCAGGGCCTCTTCATCTTGATCTTTAACTGCCTCCTCGACAAAGAGGTGAGGGAAGACAATTCACTCACCTATAGACACTTCACTCTTGTTATAGACACTTCACTCTTGTTATAGACACTTCACTCTTGTTATAGACACTTCACTCTGTTATATAGACACTTCACTCTTGTTATAGACACTTTACTCTTGTTATAGACACTTCACTCTGTTATATAGACACTTCACACTTGTTATAGACACTTCACTCTTGTTATAGACATGTACACACAGAGACCCATAGACTCATCACCACTACACAGAGACCCATAGACTCATCACCACCACACAGAGACCCATAGACTCATCACCACACAGAGACCCATAGACTCACCACCACTACACAGTGACCCATAGACTCATCACCACCACACAGAGACCCATAGACTCATCACCACACAGAGACCCATAGACTCACCACCACTACACAGAGACCCATAAACTCACCACCACTACACAGAGACCCATAGACTCATCACCACACAGAGACCCATAGACTCACCACCACACAGAGACCCATAGACTCACCACTACACAGAGACCCATAGACTCACCACCACACAGAGACCCATAGACTCACCACCACACAGAGACCCATAGACTCACCACCACACAGAGACCCATAGACTCACCACCACACAGAGACCCATAGACTCACCACCACACAGAGACCCATAGACTCACCACCACACAGAGACCCATAGACTCACCACCACACAGAGACCCATAGACTCACCACCACACAGAGACCCATAGACTCACCACCACACAGAGACCCATAGACTCACCACCACACAGAGACCCATAGACTCACCACCACACAGAGACCCATAGACTCACCACCACACAGAGACCCATAGACTCACCACCACACAGAGACCCATAGACTCACCACTACACAGAGACCCATAGACTAATTTCTAATCCTCTCCGTCCAGGTACGCAAGGAGCTGAAGAAGAAGCTTGGACTGGGTACACAGAAATCGGTGTCGTGGTGCTGTCAAGATTGGTCACAGAAAACATTGTATAGTGTAGTGAATAGTGTAGTGTATAGTTTAGTGCATATTGGAGCGTATTGTTGTAGTGTATAGTAGTGTGTAGTGTATAGTGTAGTGTATAGTAGTGTAGTGTATAGTAGTGTATAGTGTAGTGAATAGTGTAGTGTATAGTTTAGTGCATATTGGAGTGTATTGTTGTAGTGTATAGTAGTGTGTAGTGTATAGTGTAGTGTATAGTAGTGTAGTGTATAGTAGTGTATAGTGTAGTGTATAGTAGTGTATAGTGTAGTGTATAGTAGTGTATAGTATAGTGTATAGTAGTGTATAGTATAGTGTATAGTAGTGTATAGTGTAGTGTATAGTATTTTAGAGTGTACTGTATAGCAGTGTAGTGTAAGCAGTTTATAGTAATGTAGTGTATAGTAGTGTATAGAAATGTATAGTTTAGTGCATAGTAGTGTAGTGTATTGTAGTGTAGTGTATCATAGTGTAGTGTATCGTAATGTAGTGCATAGTAGTGTATAGTGTAGTGGAAAGTGTAGTGTATTGTTTAGTGCATAGTGTAGTCTAGTGTATTGTAGTTTATAGTAGTGTAAAGTGTAGACTACAGTAGTGTATAGTGTAGTGTTGTGTATAGTGTATAGTATAGTGTATAGTGTAGTGTATAGTGTGTTGTGTAGTGTATAGTAGTTTATAGTGAAGTGTGTAGTACTGTGTGTAGTGTATAGTGTAGTGCATCATCGTCTTTTTAAATCCTTTATTAAATCCTTTATATTAAGTTCGCTTGCTTGCTTGCGTGCTTGCTTGCTTACGACCGTGCAAATCTTTCGGTCGTTTTTTAACCCACTTCCCGTGATCCAATCGAGCTGACATTTTGCACACAGACTCGTTGTGCGAGACAATTAATGTTCGTGAAAAATTTTTTCCAAAATTTGACACTGTGTAGGGAAAACAAATTAAATATTTAATTACCAATTGCTTAATACTGGCAGACAATCATCTGACCCATAGGTGGCAGCCATCTCAAGCCAGAGGACGAGAGGACTCTAGCCGCCACGCATATACAGGATTTATAGTGAAAAACTTAGTTTTTACGGGTTAATTTTTATTAAGTTCGCTTGCTTGCTTGCGTGCTTGCGTGCTTGCTTGCTTGCTTACGACAGTGCAAATCTTTCGGTCGTTTTTTAACCCACTTCCCGTGATCCAATCGAGCTGGCATTTTGCACACAGACTCGTTGTGCAAGCCAGAGGACGAGAGGACTCTAGCCGCCACACATATAAAAGATTTATAGTGAAAAACTTGGTTTTTACGGGTTATACTTATTCCCTCCCTCCTCTCCCCTCTCTCCTCCCCACTCTGTCTGACAGAAGGGGACCAGCAGCACCGGTTTGGATCGAGTTGACCCTCCAAAGTCTCACTGTGAGTATGCCTTCCATGGTGAATCTGATGGCTGGGTGTATGGAATTGATGTGGTTGAGGAATTGGTCTAGAGCAGGCCGGCCATGTGGCCAGATGATAAAAGTGTCATCCACATACCTCTTCCATAAGGTCGGGCATAGAGTGGCAGTCTGCATGGCGTCAGTCTCAAATTTCTCCATGAAAACGTTGGCTACAACCGGAGATGGGGGGGGGGGGTCATTGGGGTGCTTCCAGGTGAAGTATGTATTCGTTAAGTAGTGTCTCACCAGGGGGGGTATCTCAGTATTCAGTCCTTGATGAACCAAGTCTTCAATGATTGCGATGGTGTCAGGTACAGGAACTTTGGTGAATAAGGAAACCACATCAAAACTGACAAGCAGGTCGTCTGGGGACAGGGAAATACCCTTGATTGTCGATACCAGGTGAGTAGAGTTTAGTACCGCAGAGGTGGTTATTCCAGTTTTTGGAGGTCCTAATTAAAAGGAGACCTGATGGTTCAATGATCCACTCTGTCTACAGGAAAAACCGGATTCCCACCACCGTCCATCCCAGAAGAATTCCCTCATCAAGACTCTACATCATAGAACCCAATGCATCTCCGACCAGAAACACATTGCCAGTGAACTCAAACACGTACGCCAAGCTCTCAAGGCTAATGGTTACTCCGACTACACAATCCGCAAAGCCATCACTCCAACCATGAAGAAGGATCCTCTTGAGGAGCCATTCAAAACCATCACCTTACCCTACATTGCTGGGGTCACAAAAAAGATCTCCAAAATCCTGATTAAACACAAGATCCAGGTCCGATTCAACACAGTACATAAAATCCGTGATCTGGTCCCATCTGTAAAAGATGTGATTCCAAACATACAGTACCCTGGCGTCTACAAACTAAGTTTCCTCTGTGGTAGCAGTTACATTGGAGAAACGAAACGACATGTCTCGGACCGCATCCGTGAACATGAAGCAGACCTGAAACACGGTAGGACAAACACCTCAGCCATGGCAAACCATTGTTTTAATTCAGTGGGCTCACATGGCATCGACTTCTCCAAGACGGAGGTTCTCTGCAAGCCATCCGGCTACCATGAGAGATTCGTTCATGAGGCCATCCACATATACAAATACAGAGACAATTTCTATATATCTTTTGTATTCTCCGCAGGGAATGGAGTCTTTGCTCTGCTGCAAGTCTCCTACCACCACTCTCCCATTGACATATTTCGTTGCTTCCTCTTAGTACCTTTCACGCGACGGTCAATGGGATGGTGTATAGCAGATTGTATAATAATAAATAGTATAACAGTGTAATGTCTAATATAATGTATAAGCTAATATATAGTATCGTAATTGTATAGTGAATATACAGCAGTGTGGTATACAGTAGGGTGTGTAGAATAATACATAGTGTAATATTACAATGCATAGTTTAAAGTCAAAGGGTAGTGTATAGTAACGCAGTGTATAATTCAATGTGTATAGTACGGGGTATATCCGTGTGATGTAAGAAAATAAAAAAAGTTTAGCTGGAGGCATATTAATATAATTTATTTTTTGCGACATAGAAGTGTAATGTATGACTTACTGTTAGTAGCTCAGCTTATTGGAGAGTATATTGAGTATATTGATTACATTGATGTTTTTTTATATTTTAGTGTTTTATCGGTTCACTATATGGTAGTCATTATATAGTGTAGTGTATACCCAGTTACTTAATGTTAATAGCTCAGCTTATTGGAGAGTATATTGAGCACATTGATTATATTGATGTAGTTTATATCTTTTTTTTTTCACATAGGTGTATTATATGATAGTAGGGCATTTGCAGTTCTTTAGAAACTCCTCCATTTTTGTTGACCACACAATGCACGAGCTTGATACACGGTGGTTTGGCTGCTGCAGCTCCTTACGATTAAAATTTCTCTCCCTTTATTACTGCTAATTCTACTTCCTCCCTTTATCACTGCTAATCCTACATAATACACGAGCATAATATGACTTTGAGACCCCCCCCCCCCCCCACCATCTACACATTCCACAAGGAGTGACTAATCCCATATCTGCATTTTCCATCAATATGCTTAATTCCGCTGTTGATATGTACACTCCTTTGTCAAGGCGTTCTCCCCTGAACCAGCTTAAATATACGCTGCCAAGCTTGGCGGTGTTCATTGGGACGCTGTCTTTCCGACAGCTCTGCTTCTTCACCTGAGGTCGTCTGCTTGTGTTGTGGCCGAGACGTCGTGAGAATTGTTTTATGTTTTATTTTTAATATATTATTATTTCTCTTCTACGTGACTTTGCCGAAAGAACCAAGAATATGAATCCCTGCAGTCATGAAAGCTTTAAATCGAAATCTCATAGCCACCATGAGCGTTCGTGTCTGGGATCGACCCCACTACCTCCTGCGTACCAGGCGAGGTAGTTAACATCTCAACATCGAACCCACGACCTCCTGCGTACCAGGCGAGGTAGTTAACATTTCAACATCGAACCCACGATCTCCTGTACACCAGGCGAGGTAGTCAACATCTCAACATCGAACCCACGATCTCCTGCGTACCAGGAGAGGTAGTTAACATCTCAAAATCGAACCCACGACCTCCTGCGCACCAGGCGAGGTAGTTAACATCTCAACATCGAACCCACGACCTCCTGCGTAACCAGGCGAGGTAGTTAACATCTCAAAATCGAACCCACTACCTCCTGCGTACCAGGCGAGGTAGTTAACATCTCAGCATCGAACCCACGACCTCCTGCGTACCAGGCGAGGTAGTTAACATCTCAACATCGAACCCACGATCTCCTGTACACCAGGCGAGGTAGTTAACATCTCAAAATCGAACCCACGAACTCCTGCGTACCAGGCGAGGTAGTCAACATCTCAACATCGAACCCATGACCTCCTGCGTACCATGCGAGGTAGTCAACATCTCAACATCGAACCCACGACCTCCTGCGTACCATGCGAGGAAGTTAACCTCTCAACATCGAACTCACGACCTCCTGCGTACCAGGTGAGGTAGTCAACATCTCACCGAACCCCCGATCTCCTGTGTACCAGGCGAGGTAGTCAACATCTCAACATCGAACCCACGACCTCCTGCGTACCAGGTGAGGTTGTTAACGTCTCAACATGGAGAGAGAGTGAGACGGAGACTCCGGAGATGGAGACTTCTCTCTAGAGGCAGAGTGAGAATTAGCAAGTCAGGATGAGGAACTGCACCCGGTTTGGTAGTCACATGGTTACTTACCCACTCACCCACTCACTCACCTACTCACTCAACAGCCTACCTCCTACCACACTCACCCAGCTACTTATTCATGCAATCACTAACCCACTCACCTACCTACCCACTCATTCACCCACCTATCCAATCACTAAACCACTCACTCACCCACCCACTAACCCACCCAATCACCTACTCACCCACCCACCAACTCAGCCACCCATTCACCCACTCACTCAGCCACCTACCCACTCACGAACCCACTCACTCACCCACTCACCCACCAACTCACCCACTCGCTCACCCACCTACCTACTTAATAACTCACTCAATCACCCACCTACCCACTCACCCACCCACTCAGCCACCCACTCACTCAGCCACCCACTCACCTACTAACCCACCCACTCACTAACCCACTCACTCACCTACTCACTTACTCAACAAGCCGCTCACCCACTCATTCACCCACTCACTCACCTACTAACTCACTCACCCACTCACTCATCCACTCACCCACTCACTCACATACTCGATCACCTACTCACTCACCCACTCAACAAGCCACTTACTCACGTACTCACTCACCTACCAACTCATTCACTCACCCACTCATCTACTCACTCACCGACTTACACACTCACCCACTCACCCAATCACTCACCCACCCACTCATACTCACTCACCCACTCATGCTCACTCACCCATTCACTCACCCACCCACTCAGTCACTCACTCACCCACTCGGTCACTCACTCACCTACTCACATACACACTCACTCATCTATTCCCTAACACTCATCCACTCACTCAACTACTCACTCACCAACCTAGTCACCCACTTACTCACCCACTCACATACTCACCTACTCACACACTCACCTACTCACACACCCAATCACCCACCCACCCATGCACCCACTCACTCGCTCTCTCACTCACTCACCTCCTCACTCACCTGCTCACTAACCTATTGACGCACACACTCACCTACTCACTCACCTACTCACTCACTTACTCACCTACTCACACATTTACATACTCTCCCACCTACCCACTCATCCACTCACCCACTCACTTACCTACCCACTCACCTACTCACACACTCACTCACCTACTCACTCACTCACCTACTCACACACTCACCTACTCACACACTCACCTACTCACAACAAAAAACTAAACACCGACTTATCAATCCCTTCTTTCTCCCTTATCTCTCCCTTATCTATCCCTTATCTCTCTATTATCTCTCCCTTATCTCTCCCTTAACTCTCTCTTATGTCTTTCTCTCTCCCCCACAGCTTCCGAGAGCATGAGAGCCGGAGATGGAGATTCAATCGAAGCGTCCGTCCAGAAAAGACTCCATCAAGTTTCTGCATATCTACTCCGACTACCAACTCTGAACAGTGGCTTGTGAGCGGGGAGAAAGCAGAGGAGGAGGTGATGGAGGAGTTGGAGATGAAATTGGTGGAGGTGGACGTGGTGGTGGTGGATTGGGAGTCTGCCCCAATAGCCCGCGATCACAAATCGCTCTTTAACTGCATCACAAAAGTAACCTGCAGCGTCACACCTATCGCCATCATTAGGGGACAGAACGGCGGTCCGATCTCCCACCCCCCCAGAAAGACGTTTATCAGATTATTTGCGTCTTTCGATGAAGTCAGGTAGATGGGTTCAAGAGAAAATAACAAAAACAACGACGATTTTTTGATCGCAACGCAACCGCTCTTCATCTTCCTTATCTTCCTGATGACGACCGCTGGCTTTGCGATCGAAACATCGTAGTTTTTTTTTTGCTATTTTCCTTGAACCCTGAGTGCTGCTCACTCAGAGGAGGAGTTGTAG